GCTGCCCATCGCTGAGGCCATGCTGACCTGCAAACACAGAACGTAAGGCTCTGTCTCTCATTACAGCTGCACATCATTCACTGCTGTACACACAACTCACTTATCACTTCCTCTTACAGGAGAGATGAAGATTCCTATCAGAAATTCATTCCCTTCATTGGGGTGAGTAGGAAGAGGAATCACTTGTTGGTGGTGGGATTGCACCCATATGTATTTCTTACTAGGCATAATATTGCATTTTGCATTAATTAAAATACATTAGACAATTACATTTATAGGTTTTTTTTTTTTTTTGCAAACAGCATGAATGTCACTCAAAGTATTTTATATTATGTATCACGTTTTATAATAAATTACTTTAACTTTTTTAGAAAAGTACTTTTCTTTTCTTTTTTGGTTTGTAATATTTGCCCCTGTAATTTACTTTCATTTTTTACCTTTTATCTTTTTATTTTATTAATCCTTTTTTATATTTTATTTTTTTTATTGTAATATTTTATGTCGTTTACTTTTATTATTTTATTTTATGCACCCATAAGTGTTTCTTACTATCCATAATATTACATTTTGCATTGTATGTATTTAAATACATGTATATTTGCCCTATGAAAATGACTTTATTCAGTGTTTTGGGCTTAAATATTTTTTTGCAAACAGCACAAATATAACTCAAAGCTTAATATATAATCATGTATTATAATAAATTAAACGAACCTTATCAAAAAGTACCTTTTTGAGAGATAATATATGCTTCTGGTATTTATTTCCACTTTTTTATCTTTTTGTTTTAGTAATCTTTTTTTATTCACCTATATGTATTTCTTACTAACATTTCTAACATTGCATTTTGCGTTGATTAATTAAAATGCGTGTATAAGCCCTATGACAAAGAAATTCAGAGTTGCTGCCTTATTTATTGATTGCTTTGTCACTGAAAGCATCATATACTGTTTTACAATATGTCATGTATTATAATAAAGTAAATTACTTTTTTGAGGGGTAATATGTGCCCCTAGAATTTATTTCAATTATTTTACCTTTTATATTTTTATTTTAGTAATCTTTTTTTATATTTTTTTCTATGTCTGTCTGTCTATCTCATTTTTGCTTTATATATTTATTGCAAACAGCTCAAGTGTCACTTAAAGCTCCATATGTTGTTTATCATGTATTATATCACTTTTTTGAGGGGTAATATTGTATTGTATTTTCTGTCTGTGTGTCTCTCTATTTATTTGTTATGATCGTCTCACAGGTGGTGAAAGTGGGTTTGATTGAGCCTGGCCAATCAGCAGCAGGTGTGTGTTTCCATAGCGACTGAAGCGCTGATTGCTTGTAATAGCTCTGAGTGTGACATCGGCGCAGACGCTCACCGTGTGTCCGTCTCTGTTTCCCAGGCGACTCTGAAGAGGGCGTGGCTGTGAGTTTAGCCGTCCCCTCCACGTCTCCGCCCTCTCACGGCTCACTCGGCGGGCTGAAGGAGACGGCCACGCCCCCCTCGTCTCCGTCCATGGGCGGCGGGTTGGCTGTGCAGGGGTGAGTGAGTGATGGATCGCGCTCGGCTCATGCTCACGTCTGGATTGTTGAGGAAATGTCTACCGTCACAAGGTTTCCCGAATGACTTGCTAATCCTGCTGGAGAAACCAGGTCATGCTCAGGTGTCATAAAGGGGCTCAGGCTGGTTTTAGCACCCATTAAAACCAGCTCGGGCCTGTAGAAACCATGTGAAACCACTTCTGTCACCATTTAGCTGGATGTTTCCACAGGGAGTCTCGTTGGTTTTGGTGGTTCAACCTTTTAATATACAATTATATATAATATTCATGTACTGTTATAGTATTATTAATATTTTGAATTAGCTTTTATTTCTATATTTTCAGTTTTCATTTTATTTTTGGTTTATAGTTTGTCTTTGATGTGTTTTGTATTGTTATTGCTTATTTTTAATATTTATATTCAGTGTTAATTTCTATTTATTTCAGTTTTTGTTTTAGTACTGTTAGTACTCAAGCTTTTATTGGTGTTTCAACCCTTTTAGCAGAATAAAATGTTTCAAAATGTCCACTTTTTATATAGAATTTAATAGACAGTGAAACAATTTCTGTTATTTCTATTGATCGAATTCTTATTGATGTTATGATTATTTAATTTTTACTGTTGAGTTTGCAATGAACGTAGCCTATTGTTTGTATATTATAATAGTATTTATTAATATTTTAAATTAGCTTTTATTTTTATATTAATTTTTATTTTAATTTTAGTTTATAGTTTTAATAATTTTGTTTTTTGTCATTTGTATTATTCATTATTTTTAATATTTCAATTTAGCAGTA